GCACCATGATGTACAGACCGATTAATAATAAAATAAAATAAATAATCGGCGGCTATGTCAGAGACTATACATTCGGGACCAACAGGTAAGTTCAGATTCCTACAAACGAACTACTTTGACTTTGACTAGTTCGCAAACAGAAAGCACAATGAACAAAAGACAGTTCTAAACTATGTTGTCTGTCAGATGTCAATGGTTGTACATCTAACTAACCAAAATAAAAAACGAATCGTTTGTTGGGTCTGTTTGCAGAATGGAATCTTGCCCAAACTTATCACCTAGAATCTACCCCTCCCTCAGTCCTTCCTGAATGTCTCTTGTCATCAACGTCCCTGCGCAATCCGGACAGTGTGCGTGTCTAAAGGTGTGCACACGGCCCACCGCTCTGCCCCGAGTCCTGCTGAGCTGGCCAGCCCTGCACAGTCTTTATCCTCGCGTGCAGTGAGCCTTACACCGACCAATTGGCTGATCAGGAGGAGTTTTTTATGGACGGCCCCCAAAGTCCTCGGGAATTCTTTAACGTCGCAAACAGGACGACGATCACAGCCAATGGAAGGTATCCCGGCGGTGCTTATTTATAGACGCCCGGTCTCGTCTGTCCCCTAGGGCTGGACTGCCCTTCAAAACCCCTCTACAACGCAGCGAGCAGACAAAGGACAAAGCAACAAAGCATGCGTGCTCTACTCCCGGTGGGTTGGCATGGTGACTATGACCCAGTGCTTCGTCCAGGGCCCTTTAGATAGCACCGCCCTCTACTTCCAGATGCTCCACGTGAAGACTGACGACTCTCAAGGTTGAGCGCACACGACTCCTCACATGAGAGGACTCTCAAGACAGAACACACATCCTCACGGTAAGAAGTGTTGAAGAGGGTAGATAAGGTTAGGTGGAACGTACCTCAAAATAGCTGCCCCCAACCACAGTTCTTCTCACCAGATGACCCGATGTTGATTGTGATGACCAATTGCTGCTTCGGCACAACCAGCTTTGCACAACCGTTCCACCTTAGCATCAATCACATACCGGATAGTTCTCATCACACTGCGAACACCCAATAATCACCACATAGCCTTCCTTGCGATACCCCTCACCACCTGGGTCGCCACTCTTGTCTCCGCCCTCCTCACCACACAGGTCCCACGGCATGGTCGCTCACCGCACACACCGCGTGCATGTACCGTATTAGGCAGAAGACAAGTGCCAGATTAGCACAACGAACCACAGCTCCGATACCAAATTGCAAGGAAGATGAGCAATAGCGAACTTCAGAAATCAAACAGCATCATACACATAAGACTGGATAGTCGTGACCTCGAACCAATAGCAGAATTGCATCGCGAGTTTCACCAAATAAGAGCACACCAAAAGCTCATAATTGACAATGCTGGAATAGTCTCATCATCATCAACAAAGAACCAATGTTGATCTCCTATCTGGCGCTCGGCGCCCAGACTACGAATGGCAGATCCTATCTAGCCTAGACTACAATGCCGCTGATGACGTCAACAGCTTCCCAAGTACGAGCAGATCTCGACCAATGCCGCCCATCAAGCACCAGGTATGTCTCTCATATCACTCACTTTCCCCAACTCACAGATGCCACTTGCACCCACGAACCACCATGCGCCCCATCCAGCATACAGCAGCGCAWCTCGGCTATGGCTGCCTGCTCCTTCGAGCTCGCCCGCGAGCGCGTGATCGCTGGCCAGCGATAGCGCAGCAGAGCTTGCGCACAATGTAGCCAGTGCCCGACTGACCAATGCGTGGGCAGGCCCTTCCCTATATCGAAGTGGCCTGCTGCTGCATGCTGTGCTACGGTACTGGGCCCCGACCCAGAAGCTTCCGGTAGGCCCATAGAGGCTGAGCGTCAGTCCAAACGAATCAGGCCCAGGGCCATCGACAGTTACCCATGCCCAACTACCCACAGTCTGAGTTGGGTCCATGCTGCGTACCTCGCCCAGGGCCTGACTTAGATACATTTGATAAAGGAGGCCAGGGCCTGGGCGCCTTCAACCAACTCGCGCTGTGCAACTGCCTGAGTTTTTCCCCAGTTGCGAAGTAATCAAAAATAGGCCTCTTGTTGTCTGTCGAGCCTGCCTTCACTTAGGGCGGCCGACCTGTTGCAAATAGGGGCCCGGTAGGGCTTATTGAGGCCTTGTGCCTCGCACATGTCTGATAAGGGGCCCGTGAGGGCTCGTTCCTCGCAATTGCATCGTCTGGATTCGAACTCGGGTCTGTATTTCAACAGTTCATCAGCATACCACGTGAGTCTCTTTCCAACTAGCGAATAGACACAAGCAGCAAGAAGAAGAAGAAGAAGAAGAAGAAAACAAAACAAAACAAAAAACACAGGGAGCTACAACCAACCAGCCCATCATGCAATTTGAACGAAATCTCAAAACAGTAGAGCCAGCAATCGAACTAAGGAAACAGTCAACCCGAGTCGACAGCGAACAGCAGCAGCCCAACAGAAAAAAACATCACAAACAAGCTACAGACCTCAAAAATCTCCAAAGGAAAACATTTAACAGAAAAGCCTAATACAGTTTCCCATTGTAACATTCATTCTCATCCTCACCCTCACCAGATCTCCAACATGCGCTAAAAATAGTTATACTGCTACAACAACCCCTCCTGTCTCCTTTCTATCTCCACCCACCCCTTGAACATCTCTCGTTTCCTAAATCACACCCATATTTTTTGAGCCGCCACAACCAGAGACACAAACAACTACCATCTTCCCCGGACTACCGTCTTCTCCCGAATAGAACGCCGGTGATTATCGCCGTATCTGGGCTGAAAGTTGTGCAAAATACAGCTATAATGACCGGGAGTTCTATTCGGGTGAGAAGACCGTAGTATGCACAGTCGTTATCGCTGTACCCAGACTGAAAGTTTCCCCAAATACAGCAGCTAGACTGTTACATGCTGCACCTGAAACGAGGGCCATTTCCAGGCCCTTTCAGCCTAAAAGCCTGAAAACATGGGCCTACAGGCCCTGTGTCGTTTTCAGCCTAAAAGCCTGAAAACAAGGGCCTACAGGCCCTGTGTCATTTCAGCCTGAAAGCCTGAAAACAAGGGCCTACAGGCCCTGTGCCATTTCAGCCCAAAACAGGGCACTCCAGGCCCTGAGTCTTTTCAGCCTGAAACAGAGGGCCATTTTCAGGCCCTCATAAGATCGACCTGCCCTGAAACTTAGGCACCAGACCAGGGTTTTAGCACAGGCCATTTGGGCCTGTTTTCAAGACAACCTTGAAATTGAGCTTCAACGCCAGGGTCTGGCACGTTTTGGCATTGGCAACAGCAGCCTCCTGCACGGGCCAGCACTACATAAGACTGGCCCGCCCTGCAGACTGCAGGTAGTTGATAGGGACTTCCCAGGCACTTCACGTGCAGTTCAGGAGGCAGGAGGTAGCCTTCAGGATTCGGCAGCAGCACTCTGGAGGAGCGCTGCAGTAGTAGTAGTAGCATTAGCAGTAGTCTTCAGCGCTTGGTGCTATTAGGAGTGTTACATGCTGCGACTGCAACAGGCTGCACGGGCCATTTTCAGGCCCGTGTCGTTTTCAACCCGAAAGCTTGAAAACAAGGGCCTACAGGCCGTGTCGTTTCAGCCTGAAAGCCTGAAAACAAGGGCCTACAGGCCATGTGTCGTTTCAGCCTAAAACAGGGCTTTTCCGGCCCTGAGTCTTTTCAGCCTGAAACGAAGGGCCATTTTCAGGCCCTCGTGAGATCGACCTGCCCTGAAACTCAGGCACCAGACCAGGATTTTAGCACAGGCCATTTTGGGCCTGTTTTCAAGACAACCCTTGCTTGAGCTTCAACGCCAGGGTCTAGCACTACATAGAACTGGCCCGCCCTGCAGGCTGCAGATAATCCATAGGGACTTCCCAGGCACTTCACGTGCAGTTCAGGAGGCAGGAGGTAGTCTTCAGGATTCGGCAGCAGCACTCTCGAGGAGCGCTGCAGTTGCAGTAGTAGCGTTCGCAGTAGTCTTCAGTGCTGGGCGCTAGTACGAGCTAGAGCAGTACTGGAGAGAGAGAGAGAGAGAGATTGGGAGGAGGCCAGGGAGACTTACCTGCAGCGCCATAGCTCCAGCTTCGTCTTCGAGGTACGTGCAGCACAGCGCCATCTGCACAGGTTAGTACCTGGCACATGAGAGATAGAGAGTTCTTCTTCTTCCTCTTCTCAGTCCACCATCTCCCTCTCACCCTCTCGCTACCTGACTTCACTGCATCAGCAGACTACGAGAGAGCGGGATTGGTGACATTTGGATCCAGACTCGACATTGGGCTTCCGACATCTTGACGAGGGATTATTTCGGACTCGTAACGAAGACTTGGTGTTGACGACATTCCCATCTCCCCCCCCTCTTCTTCGTCTGATTCCCTCCTCTTCATCTGTGCATGATCTGGACCTGGCGCATTCATCCTGTGTGTAGCGCCAGGCCCCTTCACACCTTGTGATGAGGATGATGTATGTTTGGTCTGCATTGCGACATTGATTGGGCTAGTCATTGGTATCCTAGCATTCCGCTACGCTGTCTTGTACTACGTGACTGGAATATCTTTTTTTCAAAAATTTCGATTTCCTTTCGCAGATTCCGGTTATTTGGAAATCCGGAATATTTTTTTTCTGTCATTTCCGAACTTCGTTTTTCAAGATTTGAAAACGGTACGGGAAATCCATCTTGAGTAATTCCAGATGTTTTTATGTTATTTTATTTTCGGAATTCCCTTATCGGATAATCATTTGCAGTCTGAAAGTTCAAAATTTTTTCCTCATTCGTAATTTCGCACTTCAGGGGGAATTGGGAGGCCTACTGAACTTGCAAACGAGTATTTTTTTTCTTTTTCTCGAAATATTTGCAAAGTTCAAACTTTTCGTTTTTGATTATTGGCTTCTTATCTGGCCGATTTATCCCACCCACCCGTCCACACCTACGTTGTTGCCCCCTCTGGTCTTATCTTCTCTATCGGTCTCCGGGTACCTCCTGCGGCGGCATTGGTAAGTTGCCACGTCAGCAGACCACATCAGCAGGACACGTCAGCAGGCCCCCGGCCTGGTCTATGCTCAAGCGCTTGCAAACAGCCGTCATGGACCAGAAGTCCGAGGAAACGGACGAGGCCTATCAGGCCCGGATGCTGCTTCTGATTACCGAAGCCAAGCAATGGTCGGATGCAGTAGCAGCCGCAGCAAATAAGAAGGCAGAGGACGCCGAGAAGACACGTCTATTGGCAATCGAACAGCAGCGCCAGCAAGACGAGGCAGCAGCAAAGACTGCCGATGAAGGACGAATTCAACGACGCGAGAAGATATTCAGCGGAGAGCGATCTTTGCTCACAATGGCAGCGGACTGGTGGGCCGAGGCCGAGAATGGTAAGATGGAAGAGAGTGAAAGCAAGATCGCTCTACTCCTCTCCCATCTCACGGATATCCTGGCAACATGCATTACACAGCAGGAGGACATCCACAGCCTCGACGACGCGTTGGCTCAACTCAACAGTCGCCTCCAACAGCTGGAGCAACGACCCGTCGCCGCCCCCGATGCCAGCTCCTCCAACACCTCCGATCGCCTCAATGCATTGGAGATCGACGTCGGCGTCCTCAAGGACGACACACAGCTACAGCAAACCGCCACGCAACAACTGGAGCAGCAGATCTGTGCTACTGCCGCCAACCCGAGTTTGGCACCGCGCGAGACGACTCCAAGGTTCGACGATCAGGAGATCTTCTGCGATTCGACGAAGACGGACCCGACTCCGTGGTTCCGCAAGTTCGAGCTCAAGTTGCAGCTACACCACGTCAGCGAGGACAAGCATCATGCGTACTTATACTCACGGTCGGGGGGCGCAAGCCAAGCATGGTTGGACAATCTCTTGTATAAGTACGGGGTGGTAGTTGCCGACTTGTACACCAAGATCAGCTGGGAAAATCTAAAGGCGGCATGGCATAAGCGGTTCCAAGTAGAGCCGTCGGAGATCAAGGCAATGGACAAGTTGATGACCTTCAAATAAGGCACGCTGCCGAGTGTTGACTGGATTGGCGAGTACCAACGCCTGACATCCGTCCCAGACATTCAAATGGGCTTCACGGTCGTCAAACACTACTTCATCTCGAGGTCGTGTCCAGCGTTGGGCAACGCCTTGACTCACGTCGGGGACACCCTGATGACACCGGCGGAGCTCTTCGACAAGGTCGCGCAGATTATTGTCATGAACAAGGAGGCTAAGAACCTCCACCGTTCATCTGCGACAGGCCCGAGCAGAGATCAGCATCGGCCGAAAGTGGTCATGGTCGCGCCGGCAACGCCAACTGACCAATCTAGCGAGGTCGTGTCTACCAATGAAGAGGACAAACTCGCAGCCTCACGGGATGGTGGTCCCCCCAGCAAAGGCCGAGGACGTGGCAAGACGAAGACAAACACCGCATCTATCCCCGAGCCCAGCGCAGCAGCTCCAGCCCCATGGTCCCACTACGGTCTCTCCGAACAGGCGTACAAGGCACGCGCGAGATTCCGCTATTGTCTGTGGTGTAACAGCGATTTGCACGACACAGTGGGCTGCCCGTAGAAAGGCAAGGGCAAATTGGGAAACTGAGCACCGCCGGGAGTGACTTGACGACACTCTCGATGCCTTGGGAACCGGTCACTTCGCGGGTGACCGCCCTTCGTTCCAAGGCACATGCAGAAGTTGATAGTCCTCCTCTTCTATACTATTATGAGGACTATGCTGCCCGGCTCGTTCCTACGTTGGGTACTGATGCTCAAGGACAAGACGTGTGTGCGACATCTTCCCCGCCCGACAGCGACAACTTATCGTCTTCAAGTGGTTCTTCACGGGATTCGACGCGCGAGTTCAACATAGAGGTATTGGACCCGCTTACGTCTAAGGATTTCGCATGGCTTCCTCTCCCGACCACGGGCCGTTTGCCGAGACCACAATGCGTATGCGCTCATCTTCACACGTATCTATCCTTCTATGCACCACCAACTTCGTCGACGGAGGACAAAGCTACGGTGGTGGACATCCTTGCGTATGTTACCAAGGTGGCACGCGAGTTTCGCAAGCAGCGGTACGATGACAACAACTCACCGTTCCTCTATGTCCGCATCCAAGTTGGGCAAGCCTCCTGCAGCGCTTTGCTGGATAGCAGCGCGTCTCGCAATTTCATGAGCCAAGCCTTTATGCAAAGGGATGGCCTTGGCGCACAAGTTCGAAGGAAGGCAAACCCGACGGCGATCAAGTTGGCGGACGAAAGGACGCAGCAACTTATCGACCGCTACATCGAGGCCGTACCGGTGTATTTCGCACCTCATGCATGTGAACCAGTGACGTTCGACATTTTGGACACAAACTTCGACATTATTTTGGGAATGCCTTGGCTTGCAAGTGCGGATCACGCGGTCAGCTTCCACCAGCGGACTCTTACCGTTCGGGACGCCTTCGCCGCCAAAGTGTCGTGTACTATTCCTCTTCCGCACCCTTCGTTTCGGTGTCAAGTGGTGACAGCCAAGTCATTCCGGGTTACTTGTGCTTACAAGTTGCCCGACGAAATCGGCCTATGTTTCCTACGGACCGTCGTGGTAGCCGACTCTTCACCCACAGACTTGTCTTCGGACCCCCGTGTGGTGCGGTTGTTGGACAAGTTCGCCGATATCTTCGAGACACCTACCGGTGTGGTGCCGGATCGGCCGATCTCTCGCGAGATCATTCTTGAGGCCGGGGTGGTGCCGCCGAAAGGTTGCATTTATCGCATGAGCGAGGAGGAGCTTACGGTCCTCTGCGCGCAACTCGATGACTTGTTGGACAAGGGCTGGATTCGCCTTAGTAGCTCCCCATATGGAGCGCCAGTCCTCTTCGTACGGAAGAAGAACAAGGATCTACGATTGTGCATCAACTACCGCAAACTCAAAGTGCAAACCGTCAAGAATGTGGGGCCTCTTCCTCGTACCGACGATCTTCTTGAGCGATTGGGTGACGCAAAGTACTTTTCTAAGTTGGATTTGATGTCGCGATATCACCAGATTTTGATTCAGTCGAACGATCGCTATAAATCCGCGTTCAAGACACGGTATGGGCATTTTGAGTGGGTGGTCATGCCTTTGGCCTCATCAATGCCCCAGCCACCTTTCAAGCGGCAATGACCAACGAGTTTCGTGCGATGTTGGACCGGTTCATGCTGGTCTACTTAGACGACATTCTCGTCTATAGCCGAACATTGGAGGATCATTTTGAGTGTCTTCGACGAGTGTTGGAGACGCTCCGTCGTGCCAAGTACAAAGCCAACCGCGACAAGTGCGAATTTGTCCGACAAAAGCTGGAATACTTGGGCCACTTTGTCACACCGGAGGGCATCAGTCCGTTGTCGGACAAGAATCAAGCCATCCAAGAGTGGTCGGAGCCACGGAACGTCGCGAATGTCCGTTTGTCCTTGGCCTTGCCGGCTACTACCAATGTTTTATCAAGGGATACTCGAAGATTGCGGCCCACTTGACCAAGCTTCAATGCGTGGATCGGTCGTTTGACTTCGGAGAGGATGCGCGGGAATCATTTTTGGCTCTCAAAGCGGCTTTATTATCTGCGGAGGTCTTGCGCATATACGACCCGCTATTGCCAACGCGCGTCACTACGGATGCGTCCGGCTATGGCATTGGTGCCATCCTCGAGCAACACGATGGCGTGGACTGGTACCCGGTCGAGTACTTCAGCAAGAAAGTGCCCGTCGTGCACTCCATTGATGATGCACGCAAGGAGTTCCTAGCCTTCGTCCACGTGCTCAAGCGGTGGCGGCACTTCCTCCTTGGTTGAATTACATTCCGATGGGTAACGGACAACAATCCGTTGGTCTTCTACAAGACCCAAGACACCGTCAATAGCACCATCGCCCATTGGATGGCTTTCATCGACCAATTCGACTTCTTTCCCGATCACATTCCGGGGAAGGCTAACCGTTTTGTGGATGCTCTTTCACGGGGTCTGGATCATTGTACCGCAGTCTATTCGACCTTCGAGATCGACGACGAACTGCGGGACAGTTCCATTTGCAGCTACCAAGCCGACCCCGAGTTTTGCGACAAGTACGCGAATTGCTCCTCTCCTAATCCGGCGCCTTCTCACTACCGGATCCAAGAGGGGTACTTGCTTGTCTAGACGCGGGGAAGGACCTTCATTGCGTACCGAGTGACTCTCACTTGCGTACACGGCTTCTTGGTGAGTTCCATGATGCTCCCGCTACCGGACACTTTGGAGTCGATCACACGATTGGCGAGTGATTTTGGTGGCCCGGCCTTCTCGGCGACGTCACACGCTATTGTGAGTCATGTGAGGTTTGCCGACGCTGCAAATCCCGCAACCATCGTCCGTACGGCGAGTTGCGACCATTACTGGTCCCCTTGCGCCGAAGGGAAGCGATTGCCATGGACATTACCGGGTCGTTCCCCAAGCACAAGACCGGTGTGGATGGGATTCTCACGGTGGTCGACTGACTCACCAAGTTCACCATATTTTTTGCCTTGCCGCTATCATGCCAAGGCACCGGAGTTGGCCGAAGTTCTTGACGCCGGTTGGATTCGAAGCAAGGGTTACCCCAAGGAAATCGTTTGCGACCACGACACTCGGTTCATGTCCGATTTTTGGTTGGCGATCATCAAACGATGGGGCTCATCTCTCAAGCCAAGTTCGGCTCGCCACGCCCAAACCGATGGCCAAACGGAGAGGGGGCATCAAACCGCACAGGTTCTCCTTCGCACTCTCATCTGTCCCGACCAAAAGGATTGGGTTGAGCAGCTGTCGAATGTCGAGTTGGCATAAAACTCGTCCATCCACCCGGCTATCGGGATGTCGCCCTTCGAGTTCGAGCACGGCTCGCCAGTCACAATCATTCCACGAACGGCCGAGAGCGACGACCATCTTTTTTTCTTGCGTCGGATGCAAGAACTACTTGTCAACGCACGCGACCAGATGGCTAAGACGCAGCAACGCATGAGCCAACAGGCCAATCGCCAGCGTCTTCCTTTCCCATTACGCGTCGGAGATCTCGTTTGGGTTTCCGCCACAGAGTTCAGCCTTGAACAAGATATCTCTCGCAAGCTCCTCCCGAAATGGATGGGGCCCTGGCCAATCGTGGCCCCCGTTGGGGATGCACCCGAAGGACCTTCCTTCACCATTCAGGTGTCTGCCCACTTGCCCGTCTACCCGGTCTTTCATTGCTCCAAGTTGGCTCTTTACACGCCAGCGAAACATGACAATTTTCCCGGGCGACGATCGCAAGACCCACCCTCTATGGACGGTTTTCAAGGGGTCGCCGACATCATCTCCCAACGACGCTACGGCAACAGGCCAACCAAGTACTTGGTATACTTTGCATACTGCACTCACAAAGCTGACCGTTGGTTGACCCGTGCGGAACTCCAAGCAACAGCTCCAGATGTTCTCGCACGCTACGAACGCAAGATGCAAGGCAAGCCGGTATCTTCGGCTCCACGTCGCACCCGCTTCCAGGTTCCACCTTCAGATCGTCAGCTTCGCCCTCGGCCCGGCTTGACTTCATAAGGAGGGGGGGGTTACATGCTGCGCCTCCAACAGGCTGCATGGGCCATTTTCCGGCCCGTGTCGTTTTCAGCCCGAAAGCCTGAAAACAAGGACGTACAGGCCCTGTGTCGTTTCAGCCTGAAAGCCTGAAAACAAGGGCCTACAGGCCCTGTGTCGTTTCAGCCTAAAACAGGGCCTTTCCGGCCCTAAGGCTTTTCAGCCTGAAACGGAGGGCCATTTTCAGGCCCTCATGAGATCAACCTGCCCTGAAACTCAGGCACCAGACCAGGGTTTTAGCACCGGCCATTTTGGGCTTGTTTTCAAGACAACCCTTGGTTGAGCTTCAACGCCAGGGTCTGGCACGTTTCGGCATTGGCAAGAGCAGCCTCCTGGACGGGCCAGCACTATATAGAACTGGCCCGCCCTGCAGGCTGCAGGTAGTTCATAAGGACTTCCCAGGCACTTCACGTGCAGTTCAGCAGGCAGGAGGTAGTCTTCAGGATTCGGCAGCAGCACTCTGGTAGTCTTCATGACTTCACTGCATCAGCAGACTACGAGAGAGCGGGATTGGTGACATTTAGATCCCGACTCAACATTGGGCTTCCGACATTTTGACGAGGGATTATTTCGGACTCGTAACGAAGACTTGGTGTTGACGACATTCCCATCTTCCCCCGCTCTTCTTCGTCTGATTCCCTCCTCTTCGTCTGTGCATGATCTGGACCTGGCGCATTCTTTCTGTGTGTAGCGCCAGGCCCCTTCACACCTTGTGATAAGGATGATGTATGTTTGGTCTGCATTGCGACATTGATTGGGCTAGTCATTGGTATCCTAGCATTCCGCTATGCTGTCTTGTACTACGTGAGGGAGGTCAGTCCCGGTCAGGTCAGGACTTATATCTAAGTCTTCCACTTCGCTACAAAGCACCATTTTTGTATGTATCAGGATGTACACTGCTTGTTGAGATTCCACTAGCACTGCATTGTCCATTCAGTCCTTTTCATCACATTGCGTATCCTTGGATACATATGTACATCGCCCAACTGGGCATGTAACAGGAGCTAGAGTAGCACTGGAGAGAGATAGAGATTGGGTGGAGGCCAGGGAGACTTACCTGCAGCGCCATAGCTCCAGCTCGTCGTCGAGGTACCTGCAGCACAGCGCCATCTTCACAGGTTAGTACCTGGCACATGAGAGAGAGAGAGAGAGAGAGAGAGAGAGAGAGAGAGAGAGAGAGAGAGAGAGAGAGTTCTTCTTCTTCCTGTTCTCCGTCCACCATCTCCCCCTCACCCTCTCGCTACCAGACTTCACTGCATCAGCAGACTACGAGAGAGAGGGATTGGTGACATCTTGATCCAGACTCGACATTGAGCTTCAGACATTTGACGAGGGATTATTTAGGACTTGTACCGAAGACTTGGTGTTGACGACATTCCCATCTCCCCCCTCTTCTTTCTCTGATCCCCTCCTCTTCGTCTGTGTATGGTCTGGACCTGGCGCATTCTTCCTGTGTGTAGCACCAGGCCCCTTCACACCTTGTTACATGCACAGATATGTGATGTTTGTAATAACCGAGGAACTGCAATGTGACGAAAAGGACTGAAATGGACAATGCGGTGAGAGTAGAATCTCGACAGACAATGTGCATTCTCATACATACAAAAGTGTTGAATAGCGCAGGGAAGACTTAGATACAAAGACTGACCTGACAAGGACTGACCTTACACACGTAGTAGCAAGTAGCGAAACAGACTGCTAGAATGTTGATAGCTAGTCCAACCGATGGTTGAACTYARACCRRACATGCAYCGTACCCCKCRCCAGGTGTGAAGGAGCCTGGCGCTGCACACAGGAAGAAAGCGCCAGGTCCAGACATGCATAGACGAAGAGGTAAGGATCAGACGAAAGGAGGGAGGAAGATAGGAGTGTCGTTAACACCAAGTCTTTGTCACCGATCCCAAATAACCCCTCGTTG